AGAGGTGCCGGGTAGCCAGAGCCTATCACAGTCTATCCAATACAGAGGTGCTGGGTAGCCAGAGCCTATCACAGTCTATCCAATACAGAGGTGCCAGGTAGCCAGACCCTATCACAGTTTATCCAGTACAGAGTTGCTGGTTAGCCAGTGCCTATCCTGGCATGTACCTGGTATAGATACTGTACTGTACATTCTGGACGGGATGCTAGTTCATTACAGGGTACACACAGACCCAAACACAGGGCCAATTCTTCCAGAGAGCCCAGAGCACCCAGAAGAAATCCATGCAAACATGGGAAGAACATAGAAACTCCACACTGATAGCACCCCAGGTCTGGAGTTTAACCCAGGGCCCCAGCGCTACAAGGCAGCAATGCTGGCCATTGTACTATGACGCAGTCCATATATGTGAGCCATTCTTTAAATGACCTGCCGATGCTATATAAAGACCGAGCTCTTTTTTTTCATTAACTCACTAATTTATTCCTTTATTGATTTTGTATCGACGCTACATACTCCGTAGTTAAAATATTGAGAACCTCCTCCTGTGTGGAATCACATTGAATGTGCAATTGAATCCATTACAGACTCATGTGAAAGAAGAGTTAGGCATCACATTTGGTAGAATATGTGCCCACATCCTGTTTAAGCAGTTCTTCTAGCTTATATTTTGGCTAGTAGTGACAGGCACAATGCTAATTGGACAGAATCCTAAAGGTGGTAACTTTTATAGATCACTCCTAAATCGGCAATTATCTAAAAGGATTAGAACCAAGGTAACCTTGATCTTTGTTTTGATTTGTTCAAATGAATTGCCGCTAGCCAAATGTGCTCTGACAGGATCACTGGATGTTGCCATTTTTAATTCAGGAGATTCCGAAATTGCTTCACTGAACCAATGACCTCCATAAAAGGTTATTAATTAAAAAAACAAGTTGTTTTTATATTCCTGAGTCTTTAGGAATTGATGCCCTATACAACCTGGATTGTGTCTTACTGAGACCACTTACTGACCAGTCTAGTTCAACACTTGAGGAACAGTGTTGTAAGAGAAGATGAATGGAAAAAGAGGAGAAATCCTCTGAACTCCTTTCATTCACCAGGAAAGAATGATTTATTAACACAAAGCTTTTTTAAGACTATAAATCATTTTAAAGCCATTTATCAAACCAGTCCCAGTTTAATTAAACGGGATGTGGGTAAATAGTCAATCTCTTCTCTGAACTGTCCGTCAGTGATGAATGGATTAATTGTGCAAAATTCCTGTCTTTGTAATGGTGATTTATTGCTCATTATGAATGCTTTGTTTTCTGCACCATTAAGATAAAAAATGCTGTTACAATTTACTGTCAGAAGAGATGAAGATCGCTGATTATTTTCGCTTCTTATGTAAACCGGTTATCTTAAATCCCAAGAGTGGTCATCTCACAAACCTAGATGTTTTTATTTCTTGCTGATAGGCCTGTGGTCATTTTGTTATGTAAGGTTTGGATTAATTAAGTAATATACAGTCCCTTGCATAAGTTTTCTCTCCCTTACAATGGTATTCCAAATGTATTAAATTGCAAATGATCTGTAGAGAATATTTTTAAATAAAACTTGAAGTCTGAAACCAAACAAGTTTTTGGGTTAATAAAGATAAATGACAGCAAAAACTGCAAAAACAAATCCAAATCTAAAATGTTGTTTGCATATGTGTTCATCACTTTTGACATAATAAAGCTGAATTAGTTCAGGTGTGTAGAATTATTTAAACAAGGTTCAGAATTACTTTAATGGACTCTGTGTGCAATAATTGTTCATGTGATGTCATAATAAATGCACCTGTCTCTGTTAAGCAAAGATTCAACCGTGAAGACCAAGGAGATATAAAAAAACTAGTTGTAGAAAGGCAAAGTGAGAAGGATATAAGAAAAAATCAAGAATATTGAATGTCCCTTTGATCACGGTGAAGTTGATCTTGAAGAACTGGAATGTCTGCTTACCACACAAGCATTGCCTAAATCAGGCTGTCCCCCCAAAATGAGCAGACAGATATGAAGGAAACAGGTTAGGAATGCATTCCTCTGACCATTGATGACTAAAAGAATTACAAAGATCAGTGGCTCAGATGGGAGAAAATGTCCACGGGCCAATCATATCCCAACTAATCCACAAAGGGGGCTTTGAACTTTAGAAAGTTTACAAACTAGAGGAGACCATTTTGTCCATCTAACCAATTTGGTAGTTAGTAGTGAATTGATTCAAGGATCTCATACAACCATTTGTTGAAAGAAATGTTCAACAGCATTGCTGGGTAGCCTGTTCCATTCTCCCACAACCCTATGAAGAACCGCCTCCTGATTGGCCTTCTGGTTAATGGTTTACTTTTCATTCTGAAGAAATCTTCAGGGTTAACTTTGTTGGAGCCTTTGAGGATTCTGAATTTGTGTATCAGGTCCTCTTTTTTCTTATCTAAAAAAAAGTGGGCGGTGCAGTGGCTCTGTGGCTAAGGATCTGCACCTATGGCTGGAAGGTTGCCGGTTTGTATCCCGCGGCTGGCAGAGGAATCCTACTCCGTTGGGCCCCTGAGCGAGGCCCTTAACCCCAACTGCTCCAGGGGTGCTGTATAAATGGCTGACCCTGCACTCTGACCCCAAGCTATCTCCCTGTCTGTGTGTCTGTGTGTCTCATGGAGAGCAAATTGGGGTATGTGAAAAGACAATTCCTAATCTAGGAAATTGTATATGGCCAATAAAGTGATCTTATCTTATCTTTTGTAGTATTCTCTGTTGAAAACTAAAAAGTTCAGTTCCCTCAGCCAGTTAATGTTAGACATTCCTATAAGATCCAGTTTATTCATTGTCTGGTTGCTGGATGGATGTCTGGATGGATTTAAGAGCAGCAAAATCTTCTCAACAACACGGTGTACACAGTATTCTACATGAGGCTTTATTAGGACATTTTACAATTTCCATTATATGGATCTGTAAAAATGCATCTAAAATTGAAGGCAACAAAATACTGAAGTGAGGTTGCAAACGTGGCAAAAGGTTTTGTAGTCTGACAAGAGAACATCACTCTGTAAACACTCTACTTTCAAGCATGTTGATGGCACAGTTACCTTATAGGGCTGCAGCACATCAGCAGTGACTGGAAAGCGTGATAAGAAGCGTGTGGGGAAAATGGATGGAGCAAAGTGCAGGACAAAACTGGAAAGAAAACTCACCTTTCAGCAGGACAGTCACCTAAAACACACGGCCAGTACAACCCTGAAGTGGCTCAAATGAGTCTTTGAGTGACTCAGGGCCCAGTCCTGGCAAGACATGAAAATAGCTGTCCATGATCAATCCCCTACTGCCTTGACATCATTCCAGTGTGCAAATTTGCTAGAGAGACTCACAGCTGGAATTGCTGTCTAAGGTGTTTCCACCAAGTATTGTCATTTTTGATTAAAATGTTAACTGAATAATCATGTTAAATTGTATATACATAATTTGTAATTCAAGAAGGGACATACTGTAATTTGAAGGAGTGAACACATTAATACTACAAAGGCTGGTTGGAAAGGATACAGATGTCAACACTGGCTCCTGTAGGACTGGGTTACTGATCCTGAGTTAAATTGGATATCAATTTAAAATTAAGAAAAGAATGTTGATGTTTACTTGAGTAGAGTTCATTGTTTACCAGCATGGGGTCCTGTGACATCATTTGTGAAGTTCCTAGCGAAATAAAGTCTCAGATCTAAACAGGGCAGCTACAGATTCAACCTGTCAGCTTATTGGAACAGAACAGATACCAGGTCTTTCTAAGTTAGAGTTCCTGGAACTCTAGGTCAGATTAAACAGAAAACATTGTCATGAAGTCAATTGAATATTTTGTGAAGGGAGGTTTCATATGCAGCTGCCTGTGTTTGACTCCCTGGTAAGGATATTGTGATTAATTACTTGTTACTGAGAAGAGCAAATAACACAATGATATACATCACCACGTGCTGTTACATCTGTTTAAGTAATTTTCCTGTCAATTTCTTTTCATCGTTCACATCCCAACAGGTCTTAAACTTACACAACAGTATTGGACTTCCCCATGTTTTACCATTTTGGATTGCATTTGTGCAGAAAGCATATGTCCTTAAGGCTGTTGTTTTTCTGAGATCACTCCATGTAGCTCAAGGAATGTTTTTCTTCGGTTCCCGATTTGATAGACATGTCTGTATTAGGCATAGCTGCAGCACCTGTGTGCAATGTCAGGCAGGTTTTAGAGTAAAGAGGGTGTCAAGGATACACTCTTTACTTGTGATTGCAAACAGAAACTTATTACTATAAACCGAAAGGTATTAAAATCACAACCAATGGCATTTGTTGTATTTCATTTCCTCTAGAGTAGAGTAGTTTATTGCCATATGTTTATTGCCACATAGTGCCAAAACAACAAGATGGTGCCGTTCCATGGCGATGTCCTGCGTGAAGCTCTCTCTTCATTTCCTCTCACTATTCATCATGTTATGAAATAGTAGTTTGGATTATTGTATTTGATGTGATCTCATCCATAAAATAAATGCTCCTGAGCAAATGGTACTTTTTTTTTTACACCATATTATTTCTTTTTTTTCCCCCAAACTATAATGGAGTAGGAAATTGCACCTTTGACTATAATTATCAAAACAATTAAAAGCTTAATACTTCTAAAAAAAGCATTAAATAGTGTAATTGAGTCAAGGAGTAGTAGAAGAAACAAAACTTTTCACTTTTGAATTGGCAAAAGGCAGGTGGGAAAGAGATGCTGTTTTGGTTGTTTGTCTTAGTAATCATTTCTTATACTTACATACAGTAGTACTTTAGTGGATAATCTATTTAAAGCACTTTACAGGTAATGGGGACTCCCCTTCACCAACACTAATGTTTAGCCCCTACATGGATGATGTGATGGTAGCCAAAGTGCATCAGTACGCTCACCACACATCAGCTAATGTCTAATGTCTTGCTCTTACTGGGCCCTGTGTCGTCTTATGGCAGATTGAGAACCTTCAGGAGCAGCTGAGGGACAAGGAGAAGCAGATGAGCAGCCTGAAGGAGAGGGTGAAATCCCTGCAGGCCGACACCTCCAACACTGACACTGCCCTCACCACGCTGGAGGAGGCCCTGGCTGAAAAGGTTGGTCATATCCTGGATCCATCCCATTCAAAACAAATTGGTGGAGACTTGTTCAGAACTTGAAGAGAAACCCAAGTATTCCATCACCCATCACTTATAGTAGGCATTTGCTGTATGAACACCAAGGAGTTCACCTTAACTCGGGCTAGCTCATATGCTAGCCTACAGTAGGCTGATATAGAGCAGCACATTTGACTATGATAACTAAATTAAAAAAACTAAGAAAAACACTCCTGCACATTTTTCCCCAATAATGTTTTTGTGAGTGTTACTGCTGTAAATGATTTTTTTTTTCTATGCTGTCACTTTAGACCGTGAGAGCAGAGCAACAGCAGTACCATATTGGAATTGGCTGGTCTCATACATTTCTCTGTAACAGGATAATAATGTAACATACGAAAGGCGGTAAGACAGCAGAGATTCCCATTCAGCCCATTTTGCTTGTTTGATTGGATTGTAAGATTTCACCCAGGCACTTCTTAATGGAGCTCAGAATGTGGGTCCGACCACCTGAAAAAGGACGCTTATTCTAGACATGTACAGTTCCTTGTGTAAAGAAGCATTTCCCGTTCTCTATCCTAAGTAAATTACCCTTTTTTAACAGGGAAAATTCTAATTCAAATGCTACAGATGTTTGTTTTATACCCAAATGATTTGAAAAAGCTTATTGTGTTTCTTGGCTCGACTCTCGGCTGCGAACCGAATGCTGTGACCGCACGTGGGAGAAAGAGGAAGTGTAGACAGACTTCTCTGAGCCCTCCGCCTTCGAGCCGCTTGTCTTTCAACACATCATGGCTCAGTGCCGTACTGGAGATTCTGTGCCGTATGCAGGAGAGGCACATCTTTCTCTTGACAGCACTGCGAGACTGCAGGGGTCACTGTGTAGCTGACTAATCTCCCATTACCCCCAGCACAACCTGGCCACTTGTGTGACACAATCCAAGTGCAAACTATGGTCATGGTGGCTTCTTGGCTCTTAGAGCCACTCAGGAGAGCCCATGAATTTCCTTCTTTTGTTCCAGTTGGGACCCCACTACTTGTCAAATTGTTCTTTTAGTTGTCCCTACAATATAGATAGGATTTGAATCAAATGTCCGGTCAATCTTCTTTTGCTCTAGACTGAAGTAATGAAAGTTAGTTGAACCCTTCTCTACATAACTGTCCACTGGAATCGTTTTTTGTTTCTTTTTAAAAACAAAACTCTTTCTAAAAGTATAATGTACTTTTCTTAGTCTAAATGAGGTTTAACTGATGCATTTTATGAATAACTTCACTTGCTTTTAATAACACACTTTTTGTACTAAAAATGTACAAATTCACAGCATGGGACTAGGACTGAGTTACTGCCTTCTTTGAAACCTACATTACTTGACCAGTGACCATGTCATAGAAAGCTGCAATGAGGAATATCCCACACCAACTTAAAAAAAAAAAATGTGTTGAAGGTGTCTCTTTGGCTTCCATGTAGTTTATAGTTAAAAGTTACATGCTACATAGATTTTGTATCATCTTTAGGCACAAAGAAGATCAGGTTTGAAGAAATATAATATACAGTATCTGTATGTGCTTACAGAGCCATTGAAAAGCTGTGTAAAGTGTAAAGACTGTAAAGAGAGGCAGAGGATAGAATAATATAATTAATTCTTCTTTACCTAGAACCACTTGTATCATACAACAAATAACCTCTCTGTAATTAACTGTGGACAATAATGTTTAAAGTTGATGGTAGTCCATGACGTCCTGCTAATAAAGATGCACAACTGGGGTGTGTTGCCTAATACATCAGTAAAGGTATCTGTATGTTATTTATGCTGGTTTTTCTGACCACACAATAGCTTTCCTCTACTTATTATAAAGGTTTTGAAGTGGAACATTCCCTGAAATTGAAGCAGTGGTTTAAAAATATGTGTCATAACATGATGTATTTGGTAACACTGCCTCTCCCGTTATACTGTGCTTCTATTTTAATGTTTCTCTTCATGTTATAGTCAAAAAATCTAAATAGTACCTTGTATGCAGTATACACTTCCTATAGACCCCTTCATGCCTTTAACCTTTCATATTTTTGTTGTGTCAGTGTTTTAGAGTTTCATGCATTTAAATGTTTTTGTCCCTCTTATCTACACACCATATTCCATACTTTTAAGGGGGAATATGTTATTGAGGAAAAAATTATATATTACAAATACAAAATTGAAACATCATAATTTAACAAGTCTCCACCACCCTGCCCTTTTAGCAGCAGTTACTGCTGTGAGTCTTTTGGGATAGATCTCTGTCAACTTTACACACCTAAATTTGGAAATATATGACCATTCTTCTTTATAAAACCATTTAAATGATTTCAAGTTCATTGGGGAGCCTTAATGGACATCAGTCTGAGTCTGCCTCAGTTTTGATTGTTTGATTAGGTCAGGGGCTTGGACAGGACATTTACCTTTTGGTTCCTTAGCCACTAGTGTATCTCTGGCTTTGCACTTTGCTTCATTTTCATGCTGAAAGTTGAACTTCTGTCCCAGTTTCAGCTTTCTTGCAGGGTTCAGCAGGTTTTCCTCAAGGACTTCTCTGCACTTGTGGTCCATTTGTTTTCCCTTCTGTCCTCACAAGTGCCCCAGTCTCTCCCGATAATAAATATCCTCATAAGCCGATGCTGCCACTACCATTCTTCACAGTGGGGATGGTGTTCTTTGTGGTGGGTACCAAATGTAATGTTCTCCATTTAGGCCAGAGAGTTCCATTTTAGTTTTATCAGACCATAAAACTTTTCGCCTTGTGTTTGCATTGTCACCCTTAATGCTCTCTTGCTGTTTTAATGGATGCCTTCTTGCCATCCTTCCATACCAGCCAGATTGCTGGAGTGCTTGTCTTGGCCCTTAGCTCTTTAAAAGTTGCTAATTGCTCATGGTAGCCTCTCTGATCAGTCCCCTTCTTGCTTGGTCATTCAGTTTGGAGTCTGATCTAGATAAGATCTTGATGGCGTCACACACCTTCCACTTCTTATTTTTTGTCCTGAACACACTTTAAGGGATATTCAAGGCCTTTGTTTTTTTATACCCATTCCATGATCTTTGCATTTTCATAACTTTAACTTGGAGTCATTTTTAAATCTCCTTGGTGCTCATGGTCCCGTCTTTTCTTTGGCAGACAACACCTACTGAACTGCTGATTTTTCTTGAGATCATGTGAATCACTAAAGTTTCCCACTGGTGGTGGCCAGTTAACTTGATATGTGATTTCGATGGCAATTAATTACACCTCATCTAATTTAGAAGGTGGACAGTTATCCAATCAAGCTAGGCAAGAATTTATTTTTAAGTCATTTTTAAAAACAAATTCTAGATTATTTATGTGGAAGTTATGGACTAGAATATATAGATATGTAAATGAAAAATGTTAATTCTAGGCTATAAGGCAATAAAAGGTGAAAATTCTGATGGGGCTGTAAATATTCTATAGGTACTGTATAAAGGCAGTGTTAAGAATTCCTGATATTTAAAAGAGAAGCTGAGTTTTACTGTGGATTGTCAAACTTTGCAAACTTATCACACAGCTTTCACTTCCCACTTTCACAAGACCGTGCCTTGGCGGTTGTCAGGTAGGGATTTTACAGTGGCATATCTCCCCTGGCTGTCCCTGTGCTGAGTCGTGCCCTTGGTGCCCACACTGCTTGGAACAACACACAGACTTAACCAATGTCTAGTAGACTCAGCCACCCAGTGTCATTGTTGCTTTTTCAGCCATTGGAATTCACTGACTAGAGCACAGAGAGCACCTGGCTGATTTCTCATTGTCTGTTCCGCCTTCTCCACACACAGCAGCCCTGGGCCTCGTGAGCATCATTGGCATGATATAAAAAGCCTTTATTTCTAGAGCACAGCACATTTCAAGGCAAAAGCTGGAATTTTACAGAATGCTTTTTTTTTTGCTTTTGAAATGATAGGGGCCTTCTTTACAAATTATAAATACCCTTTTCTCAGTGCTAGAGATTGGTAATGTCCTTTCAAGCGCAGCGGCGTTAATAACAAATTGAAAGAAAAAGGTGCTCATAAAAAATTGCTAAATGCTTTGCTGATTTGCAATAGCAGCAGACAGAGATATGATTTTGATTAATGAGCCACAACATAAAAAGCTGGGAGGAGTAGTAATACTTTTAAGTCAGATAAGACAAAGGAACATTTACTCAGTGTCAGTGTATACCAATATCCATCTAGTCTGCTTTGTTATTGTTTAGTTTTTCAAACTGTAGAAGGAAAAGAAAGGGGCTGTTGAAAATGGCGCGTGACCCATTTTGGTGCTGCAGACAGCCCTCCCAGTTGGTAACAGAAGAATGCATTGTGTTGTCAGCCGGCTCGATGAGGAATTCCACAAACATTACCACGCGCTTGACCTCCTCTCAAATGGCAGTGGCAGGGGTCGCTCCCCTCTGTCACTTTTAATAAATGCTGCGTTGCTGTATTAAGGCTCCGTGTGAAATGTGGGGAATGCCTCAGTTGCCGCCAGCACGGTTATTGTTCAGGGTCACGCATGTGAAAGGGGTGTACCCTGTTCCCCAGGGTTTTGTTGTACATCATTTGGCTGGGGGTGTGCAGGGCATGTGGCGGTGAGGGGGGACGATAGCTTTGGTTAGAATCTTCCACCTCCGGCCTCCCCTGACACTAATACAAACCCAATCCTGGGACGCCGTCAGGTGCGTCGGCAGGGAGACCAGCCCAACCTGTGGTGCCAGCGTCTTCTCGATCTTCAGATTGGCATGACCAAGTCATGGAAACAACGACGCGAGTACGCGGACTTTAAACCAGATCATAATAAGATCAGATTCAAAACCTCAATCTATGCAGTGCTTGTTTAAAAAATACAGCAGAACATTAAAAACTACACACAGTTTAGGCAGGTGTCATATTTGTCACCTGCAGTTATTTTACTTTTAAAATCCTTTCACATCTCCATGGTCTTCTTCTACTTGTTGTAGAACCTCTTCCAAAAGACGCACTTCCATTACATATTTCCTTTTTTATTTAACATGGTGCAAACAGCAGAGTACTATATGAACGAATGACTGACACGAGAGTCAGTGGCAAAGTGCAAATGGGACTGTTTGCATGCAAGCCTGCGAAAGTCTGGATGTTTTTCGAGCACAGCCAATCCTGGTATTGCTTGGCCAGTTGCACCTTGCCATCAGTTTACAGTTGAGCAGGTGTGAAATAATCCATAGTGTAGCTTCCAGTCGGCAAACTTGTTCGATAGCACACCTCAAGAGTTCCTCAAGAGTCTCCCCTGTGGTAGTTTTTAAAGACTTCATGCTATAGGACCTCATGTGTTACCGAGTTTCATCCAGATAGGATACAGCTTGGATTGTTTCACATCAAGACATCACCTATAACTCTGTTAAAGTACCTGCATGGCATTGAAAGTATTAAATATACTTTCATCACTCACCATCTGCATTCCACTCCTAATACTCACATCTTATACCACTGTAGGACTCTGTTTTTTCTTTTAACAGTTTTATTTGCCAGTGTAGGGGCATTTGATGCTCATGCTGCCAGAGACTCTTTTAAACTTTTAAACTCATTCTAAATTTTTAATATAGTGTGTGCTTTAGTGTTTGTGGTTTGTGCCAAGTCAAGATGCCCCCAGACAGGCTCATATCATATCCGTTTTTAATTTAAACGTTAAAAATGGAGTTGAATTACTTTAGGCAGTGAGTATAAGTACTAATCTTTGGCTTTTCATATAACTTTTTGGATACTAATAAGTTCCAAAAGAACCATATCAGTTAGGTACTTTCAATTCCCAGACTATGTAAACCATAGCAGAAATGTAAATAAAATCTTGAGATTAATTATGAACTCCAATATTGTGCTCTTACATCATTGTAAAAGAGTTGTACTTTTGAAATTAGAAGACGACAAACTGCGAAATGGGCTAGCTGCTTTCTTTCAAACTTTAATTTAATTTTATTGTAATCTATACCTTCACCTTGGGATTATACTGTCATGAATATGAGCCTTTTTCAATTAATTTAATTGACTTTCCTTAATGCAGCACCTATTGATGCAGTGCAAGTTCATTGCTGGCTGCAGTAAAAGTTACTGTACTTCACTCCAGGTTGGGCTTTCCACCTTTAGCAGCTAGAAGGAAATTGACTTTGTCAGCTCTCTGCTCAAAGTGTATAAAATGACCTCTACCATCTTACTTAATACAATTTTATACATAAGGCCGTCTCTGTCTGCTAGCTGAAGACACATTTTATGAAATTTAAAATACTAAAGTTCATATTAAAACTGGCAGGGAGACATATTCATGCATAATGCTGTCTGGAGAGAATCTGCAACCCAGTCTAGCTGACTAGTGCCAGCAGCCCTGCACTTCAAGGGAGCTGACCTTTTCTGTTGTTTCTCTGCTGATGCAGTGTCAGATTTTTGGAGTGTCTGTACGGTGTTTCTTCTGACTGCTCATCATTAACTCTTACATTTTAAAAGGCACTTAAAAATACACTGGATTGAGTATTTAAGGCCTGGGCATTTTTTTTGGTCAAATACGAAGACTTCAGGCATTGTGCAAAGTCACTCATCATCACATTTTCTTTTAGATGTTAGTAATAGCAATAAAGCTGTTTAAAGTTTTGCCTGCCTCTGCCCATTGTCCTTATTCACAAGGTTTTCTGAATTATTTGATTAAACTGATAGCATAATCAACCTTTAGGGCAGGCTCTGGCTGCTAAGGAAGTCATTGATACCCATCTACCTATCCCTCTGTGTATTTTTAACTACTAGCCTGGCTGTGGCCTTGGATTTTCTGTGCTGTGTACTGTAAAGTTAGGTGAAGGGGAGTCCAGGTGGCAGTGTTTGAAGTGCGTGAACTGCAGGGCCTGTTCAGATGGAGGCTGTGCTGACCGACTGGGCCGTGTTTTCCTTTTTCAGGAGCGCATCATCGAGCGCCTGAAGGAGCAGCGAGACCGAGACGAGCGCGAGAGGACGGAGGAGCTGGAAAGCAACAGGAAGGAGCTGAAGGAGCTGAAGGAGAAGCTCAGCTTGCTGCAGGGAGACCTGTCGGACAGGGAGGTGGGTACTGACCATGCAGCAGTGCTGCCTCAAGTTGAAGGGATTCAGGGTATGACCTCTGTTTTCACACTAAAAGCAGCTTGTTTCTGTTTCTGCAGGTACAGTTACCTGTTTTAGGTTTTATGAAGGGTTACACCAAGAACAGATTTTGATAAACCAAAACTATTATACCAAAACTGCAAAAACTCTTGGTTGGTGTTTCACATTTCGGTGATGTTCAAGGAGTAGTTTACCAACAGAGCTACTTTATATGCTTGTGCAGGGATGCTGAAGACATTATGTGTGCTACCCAGACAATGAGTTAAAAATGGAAGTGTTACAGTGTAGCTGACTAGCAGTCATACTGTAAATGTCTAGTTTAGTTCCCAAACATACTTATTATTATTACTTATTAACTTGGAAATACTAGTTTTTCTCCTATCCTCATTCCTTTTCTCCCATTCTCTGTTATATAGTGCATAGGATATACATTATTCTGCTGCAGTCTGACTGTTAAATGCTAAATAATATACCCTTCCTTAATATTAAAAAGGCCACAAATAATGTAAAAGTTTTTTTTCCCCTCTTGCCATGACATTAGGATTATTGATGCAGACTTTATTTTGTATTTATAATAAATAATTAAAAAATTGTAAATACATTTTAAACAGCTCTTTTCATATCTGAATGGTTCCTTTGCCTACATGTTTCTAGATTTGTTATTAGTTTTATTATTTTAAGGTCTGAGGCCTTAATAGTATCATCATGTTTCTGTGGGAGACTCATTTGAAAACTAGAATGTCAGGTAAAAAAAAACCTTAATCTGCACTAGAAGAAAAATAACCCTTCTCTTTTTTCATGTCGATATTTCAGACAGTATTCATGTATAAAGAAAATTTAAACTGGAATTGTTGCAATTTTAGAGGACTTGCTTCATTAACCTTATCACCAGAAGATTGTTTTTTATGTAAGGAGGGTAAAGACTGTGTTCCCTGAGGAATTTAAAAGTGCAGTTTCCCTTACTGTAGCCAGATACACATGAAAAGGAATATTCTACCATGCTTCTCTGTGAAACTTGCAGAAGTCATCTGTCTATAAGTAGCAGACAGTGATGATGTATGCAGCTTCCATTAAAAAAATCAGTCACAGTCACTCTGTGCTGGAGCCCATGTCCTGACAGAAAGATTGATTCTCTGATCCCAGTATTGAGACAGCCCCTCTAATGAAGAATCTCTCCTTCTTCCTGCCCCTTGAACCTAGCTTCACTGCTGAGCCTTTGCCTTTGTATATTGTGCATTGCTACAGTAGCTGATTTCCTGCCAACATATTCTGCGGTTAGCCTCATTTATATTTTGATATCCCCACCACCTACCCATATGGTATGTTTTCACTACATACATTTAATATTGACAAGAAGTCTTGTTGTCATGTGAGAATTTAAACATAAAACCCATAGAGGAGTGGAACAGAAAATCTGGATATAAAGGTCTTGTATCTTGACTTCCTCAGACCTGTGTGGTTTCACCCTCTCAAGATTTTTCGTCACATTTTGCAGATCCTGCCTTAATCTGAGTAAGATCTGTGGGTCCTTAAATGCTTTTATAAAAAAGTGAAAAATAATTACATCAGCAAATATAGGTAGGTTGAATTAAAAAAAATCTTATATTTTACTTTGGACAAAGTTACAAAGGCTTCTTTTATATTCTAAGGTGGTCTAAATTGAGAGATTTTATTTACTTCAGAAATATAATGGTAATATTTTGAGTCCATTCTCCAAGATGAGGTATTATTTTTTCATCCATACCTCTGACACAGTGGTCAATTTTTTTCTTATTAAGCAATAATTTGCAAAAATATACAGTATTTACAAATTCCTCATTGTATTAAGTAGTTGATGGCTTGAGAGTTACTTTAGTTTTTTCTTTATACTAAAATGTCCAGTGCTCTTAACGTAAAGTAGGAGGTTGGGATGTTATTTTTTGTTTGCTTGGTAAAGCAGAGGACATTAACGATATTAAAAAAAGACCCTTTTGTTGCCTATAATTGAAAAGGCTATGGTCATGTTTTCACTGAAACACTGAAAAAAAATGGACCCAGATTTGAAGTGCTTTCTCTTCAATGTGCTCATGTGGTAACATACAGTACATGTAGACTTGAATACTAAAACTGTGTTATCCTTCTTACTGCTTTAGGAAATTTCCCCTCTTCTGTTTAAAGTTAGCACAGTGCTTTCTGTTTCACACTGAATATATCCCAATCATTTTAATAACACGTTTACCATCTCTGCCTCTATAACCTGTTTTTTTATTTAAAACTACCCATGTTGACAGAAAGAGCTAAGGCAATATTCTTATTGCTGCTTCTTATTCTTGTTAAGTAAGTTATTTTAAGAAATGTCTTCTTTACCAGTATTTGTAAATTAAATCTTACCATCTTTGGATTTTTTGCCTAATTTAGAAGCATAAATAAAACAGAAGGATCCTGGAATTTGGATAATGAGTTTTAATTCTTTTTTGCTCATACTGTTGGTTCCTTTAGTTTTATGTAAATGTTGAGAATTTTTGAAGTACCTGCAGATTGAATTGTCAAACATTCTATGGGGTCTGTAGCATTTTATAAATTCACATAATAGTTAAATATTTGCAGATTTGCACTATTTTGGTTGAGCTAGCAGTGCACTTTTATTTTTAATGTTACGTTTAGCAACTAAGCAGCTTCTGGTTGTGGTTAAACACTTTTTCTCGAATAAATATCTTGCATTATCGGTCATCCGTGCTAAGAGCAGCTTTGCAGTCTGGCTAGTAAAGAAGCAAAAAAAGGGAGCAGTGTCTGCTTATGGTGTTTTAAGGAGGGGAAAAAAAGCCTGTGCTTTTTTAGGTAGTGTTTTATTTTCTGTTTTTGTGGTTTTGCTGTCCGATGCTTGCATTCCTCTTTGCTGTCTGGTCTCCTGTGCGGACTGAAGAGAGCTCCCAGCCAGACAGCCTATGTATGCCATGAAGCACCAGCCAATGGCAGCCAATAGGACGCCTAACTACTCCACTTTCCAGTCAGGTTGAAAGCAAATTTAGATCCGTGAGAAAGTATCACAGTTTCCCTGAAATCCATGTTTAGGGACTTGACGTTTTCCAGAAATCATTCAAAAATGAGACTACAGGCTCTGTTTTGAGTTGAGGTTTTTGTGTACATTGTGTAGGTACCATTTATAGAGTGTTTTATTTTCAGCTCAGTATATTCTTTCAACTGTACTATAAAATTGTTAGACATCTACATTTATTCTGCCATTTTGGGAGACAAAGATTACACTCTTCCCTGTAATTTTTTATGAAGCTTGTTTTTATTTAATGTAGCATTTGCTGTGCTCTATTAAATAGGTCTGCAAAAAAGTATAATTAATTATAAGGCAGCATTGTGATGTAGTGGTTAGCATTACTGTTTTTCAGTGCTGGGGCCCTGGGTTTACGTCCTGAGGTGCTATCTATGCGAAGTTTGTACTGTATGTTCTCCTCGTATTCATGTGGGTTTCCTTCACGTGCTTCACCTTCCTCTTACAATCCATCGACGTGCTGGTAGGTTAATTAGCTTCTTCAAAAATAAAACAAAAAACAAAGAAGAATTCTGCTCATACTCTCAGGCTATTGTATCATTCCAAGGCAGAACAGTCTGACGTTATTGCACATCTGACAGATTGTAGACATGCAGTGTTTGCATGGATGCGTTTTGCTTTTTCAGAGGCACCATTTGTAGACTGACATTGCTCTTAGGCCAAATGGTAGCATCAGCTATATTTTTATGCAAACACCAGTTGTAGTGCACAGAGATACACAATCTACTACTGACCAAACACTCTTTATCAGAGAAACTGCTTTGGGTGTCTTTATGCATTCTTGATTTATAAATGAGGGGTAAAAACACTGCTGAAATTCCTCAGTGAGTTAATGTCAGCCTAAAGAACAGAAGCAGTGCTTGCAAACTCGTAAGGACTGGTGCCCTGTGGGCAGGCATCACTGGCGATTTTGAGTGTTCTCCCCATTAAGCGTGTTCTAGAAAGGAAAGAAACTTTGCCTCACACAGGTGCTTTATGAATCATATTTCTACGCTTATGACCAAACACTTTTCATGATTATGATAATTGTTGTTTTTGTAGGACCTGTTAAGAGCCTCCTTCTACCTCATTTGATTGCAGTTAACCTACTGAGCCAAATACCTCAGCTATCATTTTCTTAGCATACTCAATAGTCCCAGTTTTATGGCAAAATGCTGTTACCATTTAGTTGGGTAGTCATTTCATACTTGGTGTTTCATACTCTCCTGCTCTTGGTGCAAGAAGCATTTACATTATCTTTCACTTCATGTTGTTCTTTACATCATTATAAGTTCTCCCATGAAAATTATGCATACAAAACCACATAATGCCTTATGTATGTGGACATGAGTATTTAATACTGTTGGGCAACACATCTGTTTGGTATGCATATCAGGAGTTGTTTAAGTGTATGATCCCAACCTAAAACTAACAGGAGGTTTAATGTGGTTTAGAAAGGTATAAATTAGATAAATAGATACGCAGGATATGCAAACATGTCAGTAAGAAGCAGCTCTGTACTTAATCCTTTGGACTTGGTGATGGGGTTTCTTGTCTCAGGGAATTAAGGGTGAAAGCTCTGAGTCACAGTCAGACTGCAGTCAGTTCTGTAACTACTTTGAAAACATTCTGAGATGGCATTATACCCCCTGTGATTGTGGTATCCATAGAAGTCAATCTATTTTATACGTGGGTCTCAACAGATGCAGGCACACAGCCATAAGGTAAAAACAGTGCCTTTATTTACATATTGTACACTGCATTAACATCTCAAAATAGTTATTTTCTAATTCTTTCTTTACCTATTCAACAGTCCTTCTGGCCTCTAGATAGATAACCTATCTATAGAACCTCAATCTTGTCTCCTCCTGCCAACCTTTTACACCCTATAGCAAGGTGTTCTCATTAAGAACATATTAGCTCTTGTTGTTCACACAGTCCATCTTATGTTTTAGCATTTTAGATTTCTATATGAATAAAAGCAGAATATTCCATTTATGCCTGCTCTCATCCGTGTTAAGTGAAAATTCACAAAATGGGGCAGAAAATGGTTACAAATGTCTAAAGCTGATAAGAAAAAGGTTCTGACTGTTCCATTTCAGCATCCTGCATATTCATTTTTTCCAACTTGTAATGATATGTATTGTTTGTAGTTGTTCAGGATTTGTTCCAAATGTGTAAACAGTTTTTTATGATATTCACGTTACAGCCAGATAACATCTGCAGCTTCTCTTTCTGTAACAATTCCACATTTGTAACGAGTCTGGTCGTTTTATTTTTCTGTCTCTTCAACCCTCACAGACATCTCTGCTGGATCTGAAGGAGCATGCCTCCTCCCTGGCCTCCTCTGGCCTCAAGAAGGACTCCAAGCTGAAGAGCATGGAGATCGCGCTGGAGCAGAAGAAGGAGGAGTGCCTCAAACTAGAAAACCAGCTCAAGAAGGTAACAGTGGCCTGTAAAACATATCTGTTGAAAAGCTCATGAGACAACTATTTTCCACTGAACAGGAGATTTCACAGCATGGAGGTGAAATCCATGTGAGGTCTCTTGTTGTGTTGTAAGACTTGGCATTTATGTTCCCTTTCCTGCTGCCCTGTTCGTATAAGGTTTTGCCACTGTAGAAAATCCAGATGAGGGGAGGAGTGAACTTGAGTGTGCTCACACTGTTGTGGACACAGCAGCCCCACACCTCACACCCTCGGGGACAGTGAGGGGAAGTTGTTTGAGACAACAGCTAGTACTTTTCCTACTCACTGCTCACTTCTGACAGAATTAATTAGAGCCCGAGTTCAGAGTAGTAGAGGAGAACATGGTGTCAGTTGGTATTAGCACACCTTTCTACATTAATTTCGACGACAGGAGGGCACTGAGAGGGAACACTCTGAGTTAACAGGGTTCAGTTGCAGTTACACAAACCTAACAATTACAGTGTTTTATTGTACATCATGTTTTTTCTTACAGGAATGTGAGAAGACTTGAAGGTTTTGCCATGCACAGGTGCTTAACTAGAATTAGCTGCTGTACTTTCATACCAGTCAGTTTCAGTGATGTACTGTATCTGGGGCAGAGTGCCTAGTGGATAATAGAGTTCGGTTTTGAGCTGCTTGAATATACCTGCGCTTTTACAGCGCTAAGTGCACAATTAATCAAATCAAATAGTACATCCTGCAGCTGCTGTTTTCCACTGCTCTGAGCCCCTAGCTTTCTAGCTTAGAAGGTTCAGAACAAAAGGTCAGTTTGTTAGTTCAGCTGAAATTTTATTTGAATCAGAGTTAGAGAAATAGGCAGGATGCACATGTATTCAAGTCATTTGGAAACAATTTTAAAATATAATTTTTTTCGTAGCCATTTTAACTTTAACTTGAACAACAATAGTTAAAGTATTATTTATAGAAATATTGTTTTGCATTGCTGCAGTGAACAGTATTGAATATATTGAATATATGTTCTTTAAAAACAGTAGGACTCATGAGCTTTATGAAACAGCCTTTTAAAGGGCAAGGACTGTTGTATTGGGGTTTGCATAACATTTGCCAACGTTTGTCCATTCTATTATATACAGCATAAAGAATTGCCTACTGTGAAGGATGTTTCTTTTTTATGTAGTTTTGGACATACAAGTATATGAAACCTTTGAAACCCTTTTCTTCCTTTATTTTTTTTACTGGAAGGAATATAAAGAATATCTCTTTCTATAGTATGGTGTGGATTTTTCCCAGGAATTGTTAATCTAAAGTAAAAATAATGCTAGCATATGATTCGAGGGGGACCTAAAACCCATGCCTGTTTTAAACCAATTGGCATCCATTAATTGTTTGAATAACTTAATTTTATAACTTAGAATTAATAATTATACTGATCAGGAGATTGTAAGTGCAAGCCTCAATCATCTAGTTGCAGTCTTCTGGAATGGATCCATGATCGTTTTGTCAATATACTGTATAGCATATGGTTGCTTTTTGTTGTATTTGACCATATCCAGTGTCATAATAACTGCTTGTCTTTATTTCCAGAGGATGACTTTATTGTAGTCATTGTTTCTCTCTGTTTGCCTCTCTCTTCTCTCCTCCTGCCTATCTCTTCCCCCTGTTTGTTCTCTCCTGAAGCACACTGAGCTCATCTCAGGCCATCCTCCTACACTTGTAAGTGCATCCTGTTCTGAATTGCCACTGCAAGCTCAGTCCGTCCCATGATTTGGGGTGTGTTTGTGCTTGCATGGGTTGGTCCTGCACCCCTCCCTCACTCCTCTGTGTCTGTCTTGGTGTGTGTGACTGTGCCCGTGCTGGAGCTGTGCCATCAGATCTCTCTCGCTATCTTAGTTAATAAGTATGGAAGCAATTTTTGTCCCAGTGATCTATCATGTAACCTGATATCAGAAGAGTCGGAAACACCTTCACTGATTGCTATTGGCACCTGCTTCTCCATTAGCCACTTCACAACATGCCATTCATGTTCAAAGCAGTTGAAATACCCAGGTTAAAGCAAAGTTTATGCTGATCAGCCCAGTTTTTGAGTGACACAAGGTCTTCTCTGGATGGCAGCCTATTTAAATAAGCGAATATATTAGCTAGCAGGAAGGGAAGAAAAAAACAGTTGTGTCCAATGAAATTTTTTATGTCTACTCTGTTTTATCACTAGGGATTATCTTCAAAAGCTTTATTGAAATGGTAACATAAACTTGGCAAATTTAAGACCATTCTGGTTTTCTTCAGCATGGGCGAATCTGTAAAATCTATGCAAAGACCAAACGGAATGGTTTTGCTAAATGGCAGAAAAGGCTGTCATGATGTTTCACCATCTGGATTTTGATTCACGGGGAAAAAAAAGGAGGCATCATCCATTGGAGACCCAGATGAATGTTATTTGAAATAATCATTGCTGTATCATTTGAGTCCCCATGAGCTTTGGATAGAGCTTTCATCATACATGCTGACAGAACTTGAAAACACAGTATCCTGATCAAAATATGATGGAAACAATTCAGTGTCCTTTTTTGGAAAGGAGAATTGGAGTTTGCAGCACATATTACTATCTGTAATGAGTAGGATGATTTATAGTAGAAAAGAACATTAGGAAAAAGGCCTGTATTGATTTTTTTAGTTTTCTCCTTTAAATTAGAAATTGACGTGCTGCAATTGGACGCTTGCCATGCCTCCAACATAAACTTGTTTGCATACTTTTATCAAAGTCTGCATCCAGAAGAAGCACATTTTTGTAGACATCATTAGTAATCTTATATTTGTGAGTTTCTGTGCATAAACCTGTCCAGTTTGTGTTCAAGTCAGAGTACAAGACAGTGATCTCTACAGTACTATGTAAGGTGTTGGCAAAGATGAACCCCCTCCCCCAAGAAATTTGTCAAAGCTGGTTGCAACAAAATTCCATTAAGAAGATGCTGCACAATCTTTGTAAATGTTTTGCTTATTAAATGTATGAATTGCTGTGTAGATGGGGATTCACTGCAAATAAAGGAAAAGTTATTTTACCTCCAGTATTTATTTTCTGCTTGAGGTAGTGTTAAGTATATGTATTGTTTAAAAAAAAACAATGCTAGTAAAGAGAAAATATTTGCGTTGCTTCCCTAAACTAAATGATACCATTTGCTTTGTGCTGCTAAGGAAATCTCTAAGGGAATAGCTCTTAAGATTAAGAATTGTGCTTCCTGCCTTGCTGCTCTGCTTTCCTTCTAGCTTTCTGCAAAGGCACAACTATATTAAAATCTTTCTCTCTACAGCACCCAAAGACTTATTGTTTCAATAAAACAAATCAAGAAGTGTGTCTGCTTCATTTCAAAATTGGAAATCTTAAATACTTATTAGGTTGCCAAAATAAATTTAAGGTCTTCCAAAATCCCCTATTTTTCTCTATTTTCTATTCTCTAAATCCCCTTGTCAGAATGAGTCTGTCCAGCAGCAAATACTTATATATATTACTAATGTACAGTTTAGGTGATTTATTGCAGTTTGTATGTTTCAGAGAGAGAAAAATATTAAAAAAGTTATAACAGAAAGGAAAAAGACCCATTTTTGTGCCTTAAAATAATTAAGTAGGACACCTAACTGGGGGATTATGAATTTTAAAGGTTGTCTAATAATTTCAAGATCTCAGACATTTAATAAAAACAACAAGTATGTGCTTGATTGGCATTTGCAGCTCATGTGACTTTAATAATGTCGTGTAAAAAATAATAAAACCCTCTGGTTTCCATTGATTATTAAAACACTTAATCATAAAAGCTCTTGAAATACTAAGCCCCACAGATGAAACCACATTATTCAGGGTTTTATTATTCCACCTTGTTTTTTGAATGAAATTTAAGAAGCTAGTTTCCAGGCTGTTCCATGTTCCTAAGGTGTACAGTACTTTTAGCTTGGGCTCAGGTTCCACACAATCTAGAATCACCTCGTACATCAAAAAAAGAAAGCACTTTATTCTTTTACCAGTGGCATAACAAAAAAAGACTTATAAAACTAAGATATATTTACCATGCTACACTTTTTGGTAGCATGTGTGTAAGTTTCCATTGTTGCACTCACTATCACAATCAACATTTGCACCAGGACTGGAAAAGAGGATATTCTATAAACTAATGTTAGTTCATTGTGTATTACAACAGGCATGTAGGAGACGTATAGTGCAATATATATATAGTTCTTATATATGAGAATATAAGAAAAGTATAAATGAGATGTACCTATTTGGGTAGTTAAAAGCTACAGTGATTTATTTGAGGATCTTATATATTATAGCCATTTTACCCAACCAGCTCTATGACTTAACAACATAGTTGTTCCATACTCCCAAAATCTGAAATAACTTTATTCACAGATTAAAATGTTTTTTCATGTAGTTTTAACTTGTGGCCCCAGGTTCATATTTCACTGTTGATACTGACGAAGCATCCTATGTTGACCACATGGTTGAGCCTTTTCTCCAGTCAGGCCAAAGGCATTCCAGGCCACCTGTTGGAGATGCTTGAGATATCAGGAGAGGAAGTGGAAACTAATCTACACTCCTTTACGTCTGATTTACTATATGCCAGCTTTCCGCAAGATGAAAAGGTGAACAAACACTGGCTACGTCACCATTACTTAATCAAGTTCTCACAGTTGTTGACCTAAAAGGTGTTGCATTTCGGTGGGTTGGTGATGCCAGTCACCTCAAGCCTGTGAAGCACTTTGGGTGCTATAGGAAAGTGTGTTTTATAATTTTAGCTTTGACAGTAGTGGAAATATGATTAGCATCAAGAGCAATAGAAGCAGCCAAAATAGAAACTTTTCTTTAACAAGATATGAAGGCACAGGTGGATCTTTTTGGATAAGTTAGATGACCAGTTTTAGAAATTAAGGAATGCTTGTGTTGACAAAAATTGAGTAACTGTTTTTATGCATCTGTTTTACTGAATCATTCATTGTTCTTTTGTCTGTTCATGAATTTGAGACTTGACATCTTGATTACTGCTTCAGCATGTCGTGTAAGGTGAAGACAGGTGTTTGTGAGTTTTACAAAATGTGCAAGCACTCAATGACATAATGTGATTTTTACTTTTTTTTTAATTGAATGAGCTCATTTCTGTGTATAGACACACTTGGATTTGTAATGTACACAGTTTATCAGCTGCAGTAGTAAGCTCAGCCCACTCTTCTAAGAGTGCTGGCTTAACGTTGTGAGCAGAAAACATGAATGCCCTGCAAATTTATCTTTCCATATACCTTTCCATGTTTACTCAGTTGTTTGCCCCCCAAACTATTTTGTGTCTTTTATTACTGTGCCAAATCCAAATATGTTATAAACTTAATAGTACTACCCAAGAAGATCAAAACCAATAAATATTGCTTGCCTTCACAAGGTACACACCACAGGGGAATGAAAATAAGCTAATGAAAAGATTAATATGTTTTCCATAGGTTTCTGCTGTTGTGTCTTTAATTAGACTGTTACTGTGTAGTTGACACTTCAGATTTTCATGTACATGTTCTTCAAGAGGGCACCATGATGGTGCAGAGGTAAGCATTGCTACCTTGCACTGCTGGAGCCCTGTATTCAAATCCAAGGGGTCTATCTGCATGGAGTTTGTAGGTTCTCCCTTTGTCCGTGTGGGTTTCCTCTGGGTGCTCTGGTTTCCTTCCACAGTCCAAAAACATACTAGTACAGTACAATATAGTACTTCAGAACAGTCGGCCCTAGAGTGTGTGTCTGTCTGTCCTGTATAGTATATAACACTGTATAACACTGTATATGCACCCAGTGTTTGCCAGGATAGTCTTTGGCTTTCTCGCCACCCTAAATTGGAAGAAGCGGTTAGAAAATGGATAGATGGATGTTCTTCAAGAAAGGAACAACAAAAACAAAAACAATGTGTGGTTAAGGTGTATGAGGTGAAATGCCCACGATCTCAGATGGTTTGGCAATTGTGCTCACAAGCATTTTTTGTGTCAGCAGTTCCATAACACTCATATTGTGTATGGAAAATGGTGATAGTTATAAATTATTATGGACAGCATAATATGGTGGTGCCCAGTTTCATTTATAATAAATAGCTAACCCACAAGAGCATTTTGAAACTTCACAGGGTTAGATGTTTTTTTAGATTAGTTTTCAGTAAACTCACATGACTTGTGATTAGGTATATCTTGGCATTTCGTAAAGGTATAATATGGTAGTGTTGCTTTCAGTCAGCATTCTCTTTAAAATTGTTTATTGAGTTTAGCGTGTGTGGAAACCCATGGAAGAATATTAAAATATTACGAGAAAAGTTAGTGAGTTGTTTGAGGGGAAAAAATTCCAAGAACTACCACAATACCAGTACCTCTGACAGGAAGGTGACCTCAGAATGTCTATTTTTTCCCCCTGCAGACAGAATTTCTCCTTGGATATGCAGGACACCAAGCTGTAAAATAGTAAATGCAGTCATAACCTTCGCCCAGCTTCACAGACACCATTATTTGGCACCTTCTATGGAAATCTCTGTGGCTCTTCACAGTCTTGAAAGTGCAAATTAAAGCCCTTAAATGTTGACTTGAAAAATATCATTAATAAAAAAAAGACTTTCTGGTGTTTGGGAACAAATACATAAACTCTGGCTTATGTTATTGGTACCTGGCAAGAAAATGTGTACCTGGAACTCGAAAGGACTGAACAGTACCTGTCTGAAAAAGCTGCACTCAACTAATTTTAAAGGTTTCTCGGGGCCTGCAAATTATTTTCAGGTTGTAGGGAAAAAAGACATTTCAGTTGTCATTTGACTCAAACACCGTAACCTCAAAAGATACAGGGGTGTGGATTTATTAAAGTTTGAAGAAGGAGTAGAAGAGAAAAATAAATTTACAATAAGTTCACTTAGAAATTGATTATTGGTAAATTTCATTTCTTAATAAACCATAAAACCACTAGGGTCCAGAACTCTTGGAGTGATTTATTAATTCACAGAATTAAGAAAAATATTTATATTTGCTGCACAATAAAAAAAATCTTATTAAAATGCTGTAATAGTTAGCATGATGAGATCTGTGTTTTCTGTGTCTTTTGTACTATCCTTGAAACATTCTTGGAGTGAGTAGTGTAAGATGTACATCTCATTGTCCTCTGTGAAATGTGTTAATGGCAATATGGGTTTGATTTGCAGGTTTATGCTGTCTAGCGTCATTGTGATTTACAACTGGCAAAGCCCATTGTAAATTAGCTTAAGTTAAATGTTTTTTCACTTCAGTTTAAGAAACTGTATGGGAATTAGAAAACAACTAATAACTGAATAATTGGTTTGAAAAACCTTTCACTGGCACACCTTATTGCTAAAGCTCCGCATAATTATAATCATATTTTCTTAAGGCCTTGAGACATAAAACACTTATCACTTATTCAGTGTCTTTCTTTTTCCTTGAACATATCACAGAGCCCTGGGTTTTATTGTTTATTTAATATCTTTACCCATGGCAACTCATTAAGAATCAATTTGTTGGTAAAACAAAGACTCACAGTTTCACATGTGACTTAACTGCCTGGTGCTGTAAGCAAAGTGAGATACTGTGATATGATTCTCAGATACTGTGAGCCATAACCTGTTGAAATCAGAACTGCAGGGTCTAATACAACATAGTAAAGGGCAAGATGATATGTCAAAGCAAAAAAGCAAAGCAAGTTTTAATCAGGCTATTACTTACTAGACTAGTAAAAACCTGTGACAATAGGAGGACCTGTAGTAAATGTAGTGTAGTTGTTTTTGTTTTGCTACCATTGTTTTTACTGTGCCATTAAATGTAGTTAAACCATAGACTAGTGTTCGCATTACTTTTTAAAAAGTTGGACTGTCTTCAGTATTCCCTTTCAGCTATATGTGGACTGTAACAGTGACATTCACTCTAGAGGACCCTGAATTGGGGTTGGTCCAGCTTTGCACAGATCTGCTTTCATTAGTGAATTCTGTCATTGGTTTCATTCAGACACACCACGCAAAAGACCTTTTGTGTTTAATTTTGGATGCATTTTAGCTGGGTGCAAAGAATATAATAGTGATAAAGTTCAGACTAGTTGCAAAGCATGGGTCTTGACAACGACTCTGGAAAATAACGTGAATGGAAAATAGAGAAAGATTAAAACTGAGAGCACAATAATATCTTGTGGACAAAGGAAAGATTTTTCCATCTTTATTCCGACACACTGTTCAGTTTCAGACTGCTGGAGACTGGACTCCATAAGTGAAAGGCTTCTGTCATCCACCATGGGGGCTCCTTAACTGAACGGTTTCTTCCACCCTTCCCCGTAGGCCCAGGATGCTGCCATGGAGGCGCGGGCAAGCACAGAGCTGGCAGAGCGCATCCAGGCCCTGGAGAAGGAGGTGGCGCAGCACCGCGAGGAAGCCACCAAGGCCCAGGCCGAGGTGGACCGCCTGCTGGAGATCCTGCGTGAGATGGAGAATGAGAAGAATGACAAAGACAAGAAGATTGCCGAGCTGGAGAGGTAGGAAGATCTGACCCCCCCCTGTGTGTCTGAGTGTGTGGATGTGGGGGTCGTGTGAGTGGTGTTTGAAACAGTTTGACACTGTTCCAGGAATCTTTTCACCACGATAGAAGGGAATCTGTGCTTTTCATGTTTGGATTTGACCCCAACACCAACGTTAGCATTCCAGTTTTTGCGAAAATCTTCAGCCTCTACATCACAGACTTCAAACACCTTTAGTTGTTGAGTTATTTCTGCTGTTTTAGTGCTTCACTTTAGAATCTCTTGTCGCAAACGCAAACTACAGCTTACTGCATATGTACCGCACGTCAAGCAATATCAGTTCACCCACCAAAGGTATTTTACTTGTTTTACTTCTGAGCAAAGAACAAGCAGATCCATAATTGCTTTACTTTTGAAGTGAATAAAAGATCTTTACAGAACCTGCTTTTTACCTCTGTGATGTTGTCTAATGTGATGACGTACAACTGAGTTGTTTTTTATGACCTCTTTGGGCCTTCTTCTTTTAGGTTCAGAATTATGTATCTCTGCTCAGGGGCAACAATCAGGTGTGCTATTTCCTGTCCATAATCAGTACAACTTAAGAAAGGTCACGAATGAGGTCATCTGGCCCCTTGCTAACAAAAATTGATTAGTTGCTAATAATGAACAAAGGGCAATGCTGGTAATGGCTTTTTTTATCAGTATATAATTCTGTTTTAGTTCGTGCCAGCCTTTGCTTGGAGGTGTTACTAGGCTGAAGGATTTATAATAAAATATGTATTTCGTTATGAGCTTTAGACAAGGAATGACCTCACCGTGCTTTAATAAAATCAGAGTGCCATACCAAAGACAGAGGTCTTATACTGCCTTTAAAAACACAGAAACAGTTTTTGATACGATAACAGAATTAATTGAATAGAAAGGAAGCTTGACTAAAAGAACAGCTCTCTGCAGTTTGCAGTGTTCCCCTACCCACCATCTCTGATCTAATTGAAAGTTTTAGTTCATCTTTTCAAGCGGAGACACTAATTAATCATTTCTTGCTTTTTCCCTTCTGTTTCCATGACAGCGGTACCTAGACTACGTGTATTGTTATTTAGTACACAATTATATACAGGCAAACTCACTGTCTAAGAACAGGCCTTGTAGTGTAGGTTAAATGAAACAATTAAAACGCTAAGCGGCAAGTTAATTTTTAATAATTCACTGTTATTATGCATCTCTTAAGAAATATTCACATTACAGTGCTTTTTTTCAAAAGAGCCAGTACAGCTACTGTATGCTCATGGTTTTGTAAAAAAAAACCTTTGCAGCAGAAAGAGCAAATCTTGTCATTATAATTTTATGCGCTTTTACTGCTGAAAAAGTGACTAAACATTGCAGACCTTTGAATCCAAGATAGCGTTATGATGTTTATTAACAAAATGAGCCAATACAGGTTACAGTACAATGAGGTTCTGTATTTTAGCATGTGCTCTATATTAACACTGACACATCACTGGACCATCAACAACTCGGGAGCTGAAAGCAGCACTTGAGCAGAACAGGCAGGGCAGTAGCTCCTTGTTTGGCACAGTGCATTTGAAATGTTAAAATCCGGAGCAGGGCTGTCCAACCCTAGCCCTGGTAGACTGGTGCATCTGCAGGTTTTCTGTGTCTCACTAGGTCCCTAAGAGCAAGGAGAAGCTGATAAATTGGTTCAGTTAAACCAGTAACCATCTGATTTAGCTCATTAAGAGCTGAGTTGGAATGCAAACCTACAGACAACACAGACCCTCTAGGACCAAGATTGGACAGGCCTGATCTAGAGAATGCCAAGACTTAAAAAAACATTGTAGAGCTGAAAGTTAATATTAGGGTTCTTTTTGTTCTTTGTTTGTTCTTTCTAATGGATTTGAAATGATTGCATTTCTAAATTAGTTTTGAGAGAATGCAATCAAAGGAGCTCATTCTGTCGATTTTAATGAGCCTTTCAGTGATGATGCAAAAAAAACTGCCCACAATTTGCTTATCAACAAAGCAGTTGCACTCGTGTTTTGTAAATTGCAAGTTCTGAGTTGCAAGGAACAGGTGTCAAGTTCACAGCATGGATCATGAATGACCGCATTCATTAGTCTCAGAGGTCTAAAGGTTTGTCAGCTCCAAATCTCGGAAACGGACTAAAATAAAGAAAGAAATGTTCCTTTAGTTGTATGCTTTTGAAATATGGATATATGGGATGGAGGAAATAAAAACAGAAATCAAAAAAGCTCTTTTCAAAACTTCACCACTTTTTTCCATTTATATGTTTTATTCATTTCATTCCATTTTGGAATACCAGATAGTTTAGACAGAATTTTTACTTTTTATCATTCTTGTTTAAGCAAGAATATTTGAACGCATTTCAGTATTAGTGAACATAGTTACAGTATGTGAAATAAAAAAAAGGGCTTAATGACTGTTCATTGCAGTTATTAAAGGTAGGCACACTGGAGAGAAGTAGAAACCAAAGACACTGCACACAGTTTTTTAATAAACTAAACGTATATGTACTGTATGTTTCTGAGTCATTTGCGTAAAGCCAAGGTTGGTATCCAAACGTGTTTGAAAAAGTAAACCTTGTGTGTAGAATAAAAGCACACATTAAGTTTTAAAGTATTATTCTTACTTAGTCTGTAAAGTGTGATAAGTGCAATTGGCTTCATATTTGAAGTTGAAACCTTCAAAAGCTGAAGACACTAAGGGTTTTGTGTGGTTCAGCCAGTAAGCGTGCTTGCTCAGCAGAACAAACTCAGTAAATCCAGATGTAACAGGTTTGAGCCTGGCTATTGTCAATGGATAACTCATTTGGATTTCCCAAGTAGCAGCACATTATACTGTAGGCTGAGCACCATCAGGGTTGGGTGGGGTTAAGGTAGCTACAGTGACTGCCATGCCTGTGAGCTACTGATGCTGCCAAACGCCAGTAATGAGTATGTCATATGGCAAATTTACATTTTCAGAAGTCTTTTGAAAAGTTAGTATTTCTGAGTGATTCTAATATCACAAGTGGTAAGCTTTCAAGGAAATGCATGTATTTGTATTCAGAACTGATTAATATAAAAAACAACAGTATACATAGGGGATGAAAGTTCAGGTACGTAGATCTGTCTTACGACTGCTGCTGTTCAGGAATTTATATCATTGATCTAGATGCCGGCATAGTTAGTAAATTAATCAAATTCAGAGATCATGCCAGTTCAGAAGGATCAACAAACACTGTAAAAGCAGCAAACGAAATTCAAAAAGATTTTGATAAAATCTGAAGCTGGGAAAATGCCTGGCAGATGATATATAATGTAGATAAATGTAGGGTTTTGCATGCAGGCAGCAAATATAAACTATAAAAAAGTCTGAAGAACCAACTTATAAAACAACTTTTTATTTTAGCATTTTTACATCTTGTAGACACTGCGGGAAAGCAACAGAAAGAACAAAATTGAATGTTAGGATTTGCTGTATAGTTACATATAGAAATTAAATAGTGATACTGTATATTACAACTATACACTATTAAGATCTCATTTATAATAAAGTGTTGAAATTAAGTCACCCTAATTGGTCCAAATAATATTACTTCTTTAGAATCAGTCCAGCAAAGAACAGCCAGAAACATTTCAAGGCTTGAAAGAAAGTCTTGCACTAACATGCTAAAAGAACCAAATATTTTTAGTCTCTAACAGAGAAGACTTCAAAGGAACCCGATTTCAGTATACAGAGTCCTTAGAGACATTGACCGAGTCAGTTTAGTGAGCTTCTTCAGAATCAACACTCAAATGTGGTTGAGAGGACACAAGTGGAAACTATAGGGATGTGCATTTAAAACTCGCAACAGGAGAAACTTTTTTTTACACAATGGAATCTTGCCTGTGGGAACCCAGAACAAGCTACCCAGCTGCTTTGCAAAAGGTGATATTCTGGCAGCATTCCTGCTTGCTGCATGTCCGAATGATAAATGGGTCTAACAGGTGGGCTTGTCAGCGGAGTGCCTCTTAGATCCTCATGCAATTCATATGGGCTGTAGAAGTTAAGTCAAGCTGATTATTTAAAAACAGTCAAGTTGATTATTTCCATTTCTGTTGATTATGTACAAAATAATAAAACAGGTTAATGTCATTATACTTTTGCATATGCAGCCATCTTTACATATTCCATTTAGCTTGATTTTAACTGACATTTTGTAAAGCAGTGATTTAGTCCTTTCATTCTCAAACATGGTTTAAAATGTAAAAAAATTAAATAAAATAAAAGTAGAAGTCTTTACTGTTGTTACAGCACTATTAATAGCATAGCTAGCAATACTTGAAAGTATAAATATAGCATAGTAGAAAGATTACAGGCTAGAGGTGGTCATTTGGCCCATCTTGCATGTTAGTTTGGTTTAGTTTCACCTTTTCCTGAAGGAGCTAGGAGCCGGGGTCTAAACTGTTGGTTCCTGATACCCACGTCACTTTGTGTATAGAACTTTTTTTGTAATCTAATTGAAATGGAATTAGGAACTTTTCTTTTCCACTTGTTACTGAGTGTGGAATAGTGCCCTTGGCTGTCTGTAACCCACTAGGATTGTATCCACTTTACTCATCTTGCCTCTCAATCGCCTGTGTTTTAGGCTGAGGAGATTTAGCTCCTTTAATGTGTGTAGATGACAAGTCAAATTCAGAACATCGGAGAAGACAAGGCCTCACTCACATAAATTTGTCTTATGTTTGTCATCATAGTACGATCAGTTCTGAGTTGTGTTGGGTGAATGGGTTCTGTTCTTTCACTGTTACATAATGCAAGATTATTTACAACAGCTTAACTTCTTGCCATTTGATGTAATTATTGATGATTCAAATAGGCTACTGTGAATTATTGGACCTTTGCATGGTGACATACAGTACGCTTGCATGTGAGAGCTGTTGGTGTGTTGCATGTAGCATCGCAATGTCAGATGGCCTTATGGCCTCCTTATGAGTTGCTTACAGCCTTGTTGTCTGAAGAGAGTGCCGGATTTTTAC